GTCATCTATATAGATATTATATATTCCAAACATGAACCAAATCGGATTATAAATACGAGTTTTTCAAATATCTCGACTCATGTGCCACCTAGCGGATTAATTCATCTTTCATACCGTCATAGAGTTCTGAGTTAAATTTGAAAGTACAAGATTCTAGCTCATCGGGAAGTTGGTTAGAAATTGATTGCACGATTTGACCCAAATAAACAAACTTACATACGTACATGCGATTTTGCAGTGAAATTAAAATAAAATCAAATCCCTATATAGAATTGCTCGCTAATTCCGAAAATCGAGTTAATTTTTTATTCTATGGATAAGCTTTCGAAATATTTTCATTTTACCGTTATTCAGCTTAAAACAAAAAGGGGTTCCACTTAATCACATATATCTTACGAACGAATTTAACAATCTTAGTATAAAGTACGGCAAATCAAAGCTAACAAAATTGTTCACAGCCCGTATATACACCACTTTTCGATAAATATGATAGTTTCGAACAAATTAATTAATCATTCCAGACTTTTTTTTATGAAAAAAAATTAAAAAATTAAACTTAAATGGGAGAAAAATTTAAAACAAATAACAGGATCTGTGTAAAATTTTTGTACTTCGTCCCTCAATTTCATACAAAAAATTGTATTGTCATTTTTTGGGCATTCTTCGTGTTGTATTTTTCGGGACAGTAGCTTTGGGGAGCTTTTCTTAACTTAGATAAGATATTTGGGGGTTTTTCGTGTTCAATAGTTCGGAGTCTTTCGGGATTTTTTTCGTAGCTTTTCGTGATTATTTAGGAATTTTCAGGACAGTTTCATAATTCTGGCCCTTCTCGGGATTACTTTGTTATAACTATACCATCACTGCTTTGTGGGGTGCGAGCCATTATACGAACACATACTACATATGTTTCACAATTCTATGCTCTTGATTTAACTATGACGTATTTCAAGCATGGGTTAAAGTCTAGTAGTTCATTTTCACCAAGTCTTAACTGGTAATTGCTCTTATTAAGTACATACAAACAAACGAAAGGAAAAATCATAAAATGTTAAAATTCTTGGAATTTAGGGACTTTTTCCTATTCGCGTCTACGTAAGAACTATAAGGATGATATAATCAGCTAGTTTTCGACTTTTTCATAAGTTTATTAAAATATTAATATAACAAAAAAATACTTACGTAGCTCCTTACAAATGAAAACTAAATTTATGCATTAATCTTTTGCTTAAAATATCGTTATTTATATTGTTTTTTTATTGCATAAATTTATAATTATTATAGTTTAAAATAAACATGGGAATAAATATGTATAAACGTAAATATGCAGGTAAATATAAAGACAATTTTAAACTGCAATAAATATTCAATATAAATAGTTAAAGTAAAATGAACAAAATTCTTGCAAACATTTAAAACTTCTTCTTGGAATGCCAAGCATTCGCTCAATACACACAGATACACAGATAGATACATAGAATATGTATATGTAGATATGTGCAGTTTAGGTTTTTAATAAACCTTTGGGGCGTAGTTTTTGCTGTATACGAAATTTAAAACGTTCCGTTTTTTATTTAAATATTTTTTTCGCTCTTACAATACTCCCATATATGTATGTATCTATGCAATTTTTATTGAACTTTGCCATATCATCGATAAATTGTAAGTACATACAAACATATGGGTAAGGCTACGTGAAGTGTGGCACGAAAATTTCGCTAAGTCACGCATTTTTTAAGAAAATATACACACATATCATTGTGAAGTACTACATGAAGCACATTGTGGAGAAATATTTTCAAAAAATATCCTTAGTAGGTATATTTTTGTTCAAGTTAACAGCTATATTTTAGTGTTAGACAAAAAGATATGAGATTACCGCTTACAAAAATCCGTCGCAGAGCGAAATTTTCGTTGTGCACTTCACGTCACCTTACTCATACATGTAAAATATAAATAGGAGTTCAGTAGGGTGGTCCTTAAAATATTAACATTTCAGTTTCTACGTACAAAATGAAGACATCCACGACAAATATTAAAAATTTTAAACAAATATTTAGGGCTTGCAACCATGGTAATGAAAAATTTAAATTAAAAAAAAAAATGCAAAAATTCGATCAAAAATTGACTAGATGTCTGAAAAATTCAACATATTTTAGAAAATTATTCATATAAATTCATAAACTCGCTGAGCTATGACTTTCCAGTGTCCAAATTTTGTGAAATTTTTTCGATTCAAAAAATTATTATTTTTTTTTTCAAATTCTGGTACCCACAATTAAAATAATTTTTATTTGTATTTTTTTCATAGATATCTTTATTTTGTACGTAGAACAAAATAAAGGGGTGCCCCATGATGTTGATATTTTAAGGAACATCCTAATCTACATATTATGCTTATATACTTATACATACATACAAATATATATAATTAACGTTTATACATGATTCTTAATAGCATATGTTGTTGTTGGTCTTTTTTTGTTTATACATACTTTTTTTTTTGAGAATTTAGATCCTTTTACGCTCAAGTTGTGGGCCCAACAACTTTGTGCTGCTGCTTGGTAGCAGGCGAGATTTTTCGAATTTTTCAAATTTTTCCATTATTTAATTTGGTGATTTTTCTTGGATATTTAATTTTTTCTTACCTACACACTTATGTATACGTATGCCTTAAGCTAAGATTTTTACAATTAGCTTATAGTTTCTAGCAACTAAATAATTCCGTTTATTAATTTGGGTGATATTGTTATACCCGAATTTTATTTGTTTTTGCTGCAATTTTTTAAGACTGTTTATTTTGTTTTTCTGTATATATCTGCTCGCAAAAATATTTACTTTTCTTCTCTTTATTTAATTTGTGCAATACACTTAATTAGTTACTCATTATTTTTCCACTCTAAATATATTTTTCTTTTTAGTTTTGTGTTTATTGTTTTCCTTTTTGTGGTATTTTAAGCCTATTTATCTAAATTTTCAAGTTATCACGCACACATATGCTTAGCAAAATACCATTATGTACTATGTTGTGTTTTGCATTTTATTTTAGCATGTCGATTTTCTGAGTCGCTCATCAACAACTTAAGCGTCATCTTTAATTGTTTTCCCACACAAAACGATTTTGCAGTGTTTTTAGCTTTTTTACCTAATTCATGAAAACTATCAGATGCTTTTTGTTGTTTTGTGAAAAGGGCGCAAGTAATAAAAAAACAACATCTTTTTGCCAGTTAATGCCTGCATGTAGTTAATCTTTCCATGGCTTAAGCTTTGACCAGGAATGCAAAATAATTCGAGTTAAGTTAAGGATGGACACCAAAGAAGCCAGAACAAGCATTTTTATGCCAAATTTCCTCTAGCCAATGAAGCGAATATAATAGGTGATAATAAAGGGAGCAATGTCGCGTGAGTATCTTGAGGTCCTCTCTGCCTAAATTAGATAATTTCTTTGAAGCTTCTTTTGAAATACAGATAAATCATTTGGTTTGTTTCTATCCTGGATATTCCATTCCCAGATCTTTATGATCCCCTTATGGGTGCTTTATTGAACCCACAAAAGGGTCCCGGACTATGAAATACTGCTTTGGCTCAGCACACATGAAGAAATACCTTTGCTATGAAATCTTGAACATGAAAATTTAAAAAATGAAAATTGTTACAGATATGGTACGTATGAGAAATATTAACCGGTCTATTCTGCGCTGGTAATAAAAAATTTTAACCCGCTAAATAAAGTTCCTGTTTCCGATTTTGTTCATAAAAATTTTAAATAGTTTGGCCACATTTGCATGTGACTTTTATTAAACAAATATTTGGGCATTTCCGTCAGCAAACATTGAGGTCAATGGACTCAAAACCAGTGGTAAAAGCCAGAGATGATTCCAATGAAAAATAGTTTGAGGATATTTTATAAGTCTATCTTGGCTGATCGTAGAACTCAAAACGCCCTTGATACGAGCTAATACGAGCCTGAATAAACGTTACCCTTGGTAACAGTCATTGGAATAGTGCAGGAGATTCGGGGGATGGAGGTATATCTTCCATTCGTGGAATTTGTTTAAAAGGTGGAACCGCGGCAAATTTCGGGTGTCTAAATTCGTTTCGTGAATAGTCAAAAAGATTTGTAGGTTTTATTATACGGGTCTAGGTCTTTCATTCTGACTGGGAATCATTCTGCCCCAAAACTGTTGTTGCACTGTGTTACTGAAAAGCTTCGGTAGTTATTTTGCATTCCTGCTCCCATGAGTTCATGCCATGCTTATGATATTGCCACTCAATATAAGAATGTATATATTTAGTTCTACATTTATCGGTCCAGATATGTGTTCATGTTTGCAGTTTTAAAACAGATATGTGTTTTTCTGGTATGCATTTGTTTGGTTTAATATTCATTCCACACATCGTTATAAATAAAATGTAGTTTTACTTAATACGAGTATGTATCTCTTAATCGCTTGAAAAAATTCGGCAATTTTTCTAACAAAATACTGCAGTGATTTCCTTCATACAAACATTAGCTCACGCATTCTCTTTAAGTGCTATTCGCATAATCGTTCTCTCTACTTACTATCCTGTAGTTCTAGCTGCTTTTTGCACTCTACTATTGCAACATAAACGGTGGCAGCCAAACGAACCGCAGCCGCAACGAGCTAGGCCAGCCACTTGGTGCCATTAACGCCATTGTCAGCCAGTCGGCCAGCCAGCCAGGCAGCCAAGCAGTAAGATACAGCAACTAAATACTGACGGCTTATGGTGAAAATGACAACAAGCTCTCAAATTTTCAATGCAGTTGCAACGAAAGCGGTTGACAAAACAAAAGGAAACAACTCAAAAAAAAACATTTTGTTTTTTTCTTTTTTCATTGCTTTTTTCCGCGTACTTAGTTTTATCAATTTGTTTGCTTTCGTGTTCGGTCTGTTGTTTGTTGTCTGTTGGTCATTGTAGCGACAATATTTGCTTAATAACTTTTTGTTACTTTTTTTGTTGCCGCTGTGTTTGTTGCCTCCGTTTTTTTTGTTTCCTGAAAGTTGTTACTTCCTTTCGTTGTGGACCATCAACGCTTGCGTTTTTTTTTGCGATTTCATTTTTCACTTCGCACTCTTGTCATTTTTTGCCCCCACTGGAAATTAAAAATTTATTTGCTTTGTGATATGCAAAAGTTGCAACTACTGTTAGTGCTCTGCTTCACTGCTCGACTGCTTTGTTTGCTTGGCTGTCGGCGCTTGTTGGTCGTTTGTCTGTCTGCAAGCTCTCGATTCTATTTACTGTTGCACGCTTGCTGCTTTGTTTTTACTGCGGCGTTTGTTGTTGCTTTCGTCGCTGTTGTCAGTTGTCCGTTTGCTGTTAACTCTCAAGCACTACACATCCTTGCTTATCCTTCGTTTTTCGCCCTTTTGCTGTTTTATTTTCCCACTTCTTTTACCATTTGCGCCATTCCGCTTGCATAATTTTGTTGCTCTTGCGTCGCGTCGCGTCGCTTCGGTTTATCAGTTTTTCGCTTTTATTTATTTATGAAGTGCCCGCCTGTGTGCCCATTACCAGCACTTGCGTCTGCTGTTGCTTCCCTCGGCGCCATTTTACCACTGTCGATGCGCCGTCGTTTCGCTCCTCCGTTGCCTTTTTTCCTCTTGCCTCGCCCTTTGCGTTGTGGCGGCCAGCGTTGGCGATGCGTTTGTGGTGCACGTCTGCGTTGCTATGTGCGTCGTTGAGGAAGTGCGTGCGGCGTGATTGCTGACTCCTGCTGTTGTTCGAGCTCAAAGTGATGCTCTGGCTGTGGCGGAGGCGGTGGCGGATGTGGATGTTGCTGGTGATGACGATGCTGGTGGTGATGGTGGTGGTGGTGGTAGTGGTCTTGATGATGCTGGTGCTGATATCGCTGTTGATGCTGAAGATGTGTGTGATGGTCGTGATGATGGTGCTGCTGATGTTTCTGTTCTTTATATTGCTGCTGTTTTTGTTTTTGTTGCTGTTCTTGTTGCTCATCTTGTGTGTAATATTGTTGCCAAGCCCGTCCAAAGACCGGCGCTGCCAGCTGCTGCTCTCGATAGCCATAATGCAAATTTTTCTCAACTTGCCACTCCTCCACTTGGCTGTGTTGCTGTTCTAACTGGTCGCCTTGCTTCCCCTCAAGTGCGTTTTGCTGCTGCTGCTGCTGCTCATTGCTTCCGTAATATTTCGCCTTTTCATCGTCGCCTGTGCTGTGATCAACGTCGCCATTATGGTCGCCCTCGTCGCTGTCGTGGCCATAAAAACCAAAATCAGCAATAAAAATATTTTCATTCGACACAGCCACATTTTTTACGCCCTTTTTGTTGTTGTTGTTTTTATTGTTGTCACGCTCGATGTTCGTACGCATGCCGTCACCTCCGTCACTGCTGACCGCGCTGCTCTGCTCGCCACCACGCCAGTTGCTGCTACTGCCTTTGTTTTTGTTTTTCTTGTCACCATTTGCCGGCCTCTTTTGGTTTTGCTCCTCTTGTTGTTGTTGTCGATTATTGCGGCGCGGCGGCAACATTGCCGGATATGGTATAATGTCTGGTTGCAATTCACTCGACGTAGACGAGGACACTAAATGCTGCTCTTCTTGCTCTGCTTCTGTTGCTTCTTTTATCTCCTGTTGTTCTTGTTGTTGTTGCTGTTGCACGTAGCGATTATCACTCCCATTGTCATCTGCGATGTTTTGCTCGTTGTCCTGCTTGCCAATGCTGTTTGCCATGTTTCTTTTGTCATTGCCACTGCCAGTCGTGTTCGCATTGTTTGCATTGTTGTACGCATTTTTATTGTAGTTGTGCGTTATGGTGCTGATAATGTTTGTCGCCGCATTTTTATTATTGTTGTGGTCATCTACATAGCCACTTGTATGCCAACTACTATCCTGGTTGTTGTTGTTGTTTTCCAGTTTGCTGTTGTAACTATTGCTGCTATTATTGCTGCCTCTGTTGCTTTGCATTGTTGCGCTGTATTTGTGTAGGTTGTTGCAGTTTTCCTGTTTCGGTCAAAGTGTGGCGATAATAGGAAGCCATGCGGAAGAGAAAAAGAAAAGGTTGTTAAAAATATGAATTCCATTGCGTTCAATTTTGTATGTTTTTTTTTTTAAAGAGAGGAACCCATAAACTCAATAGCTTAAATGGCTTAAATCACATTCTTATATATACATATACTTATGTATGTATGTATGCGCTAGGATGCCCCAGAACTTAGGGACAACATTTATAATTCGATACTCATCCCCTGTATGCTTTTTTCGTTGCTCTAGATAGGATATCCTATGTCCACATGACTTTGAATCAGTAATTTTTTTTTGACGACTTTAAGCCAATCTCTCCTAGAAACCAGCCTATTTCCATTTGCTCTAGAAGAGCTGTGGAGATAGGCAATATATATATCTTTAATTTATTACATAATTTTTTTACGAGTCCCAACAAAACTCTCAGTGTAACGTTGCCTAAGTTTTCCACCAGAAGTTAGTCTCTTCTTCGCCTTCAGAACTTCTTTACAAAGTGTTATACGCCGATCCGAACTGACAGCCATGTGACCAATGGCTTGTGTTTCCCTGATATTCCGATAAGAAGCACTATGTTCGATTTACTCTGTGTGTGTACAGCTACTCTGGACTTGCGAGAACAGGTGTGGGATTCTGGAAATCGCTAAAACATAGCCCTTAAAATATCCAACGCAAAAGCGGGAGGGCTTCAATATAAAATCGTAAACATTATGGATATGTTATGTGTCGCTAGAGGTGCCCAAGCCGTATTCATTTAGACGGAAAACTGAATTTTCAAACTGTACATAATTTGCGGAAAGGTTATATATTTTTGCATGTACAGTTCGAGACAAAACTATGTTTTCGAAATGGTGAATCTCTTTCTTCCGAATTCTTGGATCTGACATTTTAAAAAGAAATACTCTCTTCTATCTGCCGTAACTAACTACAGTTACCTTAACCCTAGAACACACACCCGGGTACAAATGTATCCACTTTCAACTTTGAAGTGTTGTAACTTTTGAACCGCTATACCTCTATACCGCTATCTAGGAAGATTATTTAGTTCTGAGTTCAAATTCAAAATTTGAACCAGATCGGACCATTGGTTCAGGAGCTACAGCCTTCCAAACACATTATATACGTAAACACACACCCGGGATACGTTTGTACCCCAATAGTAAAAATCCTCATAATAATAAAAAAAAAAACATTTTTTATATTATTTTTTTTATTTGAAAAATTAAAAATATTCATTTCACACATTATATTATTGACTTTTATTATAAAAATTATAAAAATGCATCTTATATCTAAGGAAAATCATGGCAAATAGAGCAATTTGTTGATGTGACCGAATGTTCAAGACACATTGGCTTCTTACATTTGTCGCACAGCTTTCTGGTTTTTCTACGGCGTTTTTCCTCTTGTGCGTAACATAAATAGCAAGATCCGGACACAGGTTTTGGCGTGCGCGCTGCGGCAGATGTTGATGCTGCTGTTGACACCATTGATTCCACCGGTCGGTGGAAATATGCTTCAATAGCAATTTTAGTCGAAAAATTTCGCGTCACTTGACGATTTATGGCTCTGGCTTCAATAATGGGCATACACAATGCTTCAGCCAAGCTGCGCAGGATCTGCTTACGCTTGTTGTTTGTTCTCCAAGGCAACATAGGGTTATTCAAATCGTAGACAATGTAGGCTGCAAGAGCTGTAATGTCCAACATGTTGAAGAACATCGCTAGTGGCCATCGTTTTGTTTGTCTTTGTGTTGGATATTCCGCAAACATTTGGTCCATTCGATCAACACCACCTTTGGTACGATTATAATATTCAATTATTTCAGGTTTCCCACTGTCAGCTATTTCAGCATCATTATGCATGGTCGAAAGCAAAATTACTGCTTTATTTTTTTTGGGAACATAAGAGCACATTGTCACATTATTTTTGAAGCCAAATGTCGTTGAACCAATTGTCCTGTTTTTGTTCTGCTTCATTTCTTGAGGAATATATGATTTGTTTTTGCGCAAAGTTCCAACGATCGTGAGTTTCCAGGTGAGAAGCAGTTCTGCAACTGGCAAGGTCGTAAACAAATTGTCCATTGTAATGTTTCGGCCACTTCCTTGGTATTTGGCAGACAAATCCTTCACCACTCGTTCGCCTTGGTTCGTTTCCCTACCAGTTTCTGCTTGACCAGTATATATTTGTCCATGCAGTGGATATGCATTTGTGGCATCGCAAATCCACCAAACCTTGATACCATATTTAGCAGGTTTTGACGGTATGTACTGCGTAAACCGTGTGCGTCCACGGTAAGGAAATAATTGTTCATCAATCGTCAAGCATGAGCTGGGCTTGTAATGTGCAGCAAGATTATTGTTCATCATCGTCCACAACTCACTGATCGGTGCTGCTTTATCAGTTAGTAAGCGTGTTGCACGAGTGTTTTTATCGTCAAATCTTAGGAACCGCAATATCGAACAGAAACGGTTGACTCCCATTTTGACGCTCCATAAATCTCGAACATGTTCTCCATTGCTATGGTTCGCACCAGTCATAATAAGTATGCCAAAAAATGCATACAGCTCTGTTATTGACACAGGCGTCCATGACTTAGGAGTTGTGTTTGGATGCGCATTGTTGTAAGCATTATAAGTTTCTTTTGCTAACTTATTTGTGTGGCGCATAATTATATCAGCCATTTCAACGTTCATGAAACATTTGAATGTTTGCTCTATTGACAACATTTCAGTGCATCTAGCTGGTCCAGAACGTTCTCTTATAATATTTTGTCTGAGTACCTGACGACTTACATTTGGTTCTTTCATCCACTCAGTACCATCACGTGCAACAAATTTTTCGGCACTAGCAGGTAATTCATTATTTTCTTCTACTTCTTCTTCTTCATCGTCTTCTTCATCATCCTCATAGTCCGCATAATCAGGTAATACTTCTGCGGCACTTTGCGAAACTTCAGCATCGTCATCAGCAATTTCAATGTCATTGATTTGAATTTCTTCTTCATCTTCTGAGTCAAAGTCATAGGCGTCATCGTCACAAATTTCATCAAATAAAGATTGTATATATGATTCTCGCTGTTCCTCAGTTAGCCTGCATAATAAAAAAAATTAGTATATGTTTACATTGTTGCTTATTTTACATTTTTTACCTTCTATATGCTGCACTTGATAAATATTCGTTTCTTCTTGAAGTCATTTCGTATCCAGTTATTTATAGTTTCAGATATATTTATTTTCACTTATATTTTCACTTCTTACACTTTTGAGCACCAAAACAATAATGAAAATATCAACAGGCAGCATTTATAACAACACCTCGTGTGAAAACAACCCTTGCAGCTGCATATAAAATACAAAAACCAGTTATACCAGTGTATTTGCTACCTATGTACCCATACCTTGCGCGACCTTTTTGCACATATCTTTTGAACCAGGTAGAATATTTCAATGAAATAAAAACCAAAATGTGTATTCGTTGTTACTCTACAAGTATATTATTATAAATTATATTATTTTGTTTTGCATTTATCAGGACAACAACAAAAACAAAAATCCACTGTTGCATGTCCTGACATTATTTGCCCATATCGCTGGAACCAGTAGGAATATTCGAATGAAACAAAATACAAAATACTTGTTATATATTAAAATATACATTTCAAAAAAAAAAATCATAGAAATCGGTTGAATAAGCATTAAAAAAACCGCAAAATAAGGTCCCGGGTACAAACGTATCCCGGGTGTGTGTTTACGTGGTATTTTCTGGGTGTGTGTTCTAGGGTTAATTTACAACAAAGAAGGTAGACTGTTGGGCACCAGAAAATGCCTAAAATGTGAATAAAAATAAAAAACGATTTCCTGAAAAGTTATTTGACCACATTCGAAATGTACCTAAAAGGATGTGTTTGTACCGAATATAATTTCAAACTAAATAAAAGTACGATTGAACCAACTTTTCCATCACTGTAGCTAGTCGAGCAGCAGACTGTGTGTGAATACTAAAAAGCGGTAGCTTAATTAAAATGTTAATTGACTCAATTAAGTTTCTGTCCGAATTTATTATAAGGCTGTCTAAGTCTATTCAGAACTATGTACATTTTCAAATTAAATTTTTTCTTTGATCGTTAGTTATCTGTACATACCTTTTCATTTTATAATATCGTCGTTAGCAATGCAAAAGACCCCAAGTTATTTCAAATACAACATAAAGACAAATTTTATTAACTCAAGCAGAGAAGCCCAGAATGAACCTCATATACATACATATGTATATAATGCTGTAAAAATTAATTTTAAGAATGTTAAATTTAACTTAAATTTTTAAGTTGTATTCTTTATTTTATATTTTTATGCAATTTATTAAATAAATAAGCTCACTTTAATTTATAAAAATTGGCGTCTGATTCGTCTCTTTTTTCTACGATTTCACACAAAATATGGCACTGCATGCCTAGGAAAAATTGGCAGCCAAGTTGAGGGCCAATAAAATCCGCAGTATGCGGGGCACTTAATATTGATGTTGATATTAGACATTGTTGTCACTCATACGCCATGGCATGTGAGTAACTTAGACTAGAAGGCAGGAATCAAGTAAAGCCTTTGGCGAATCTTCATTCGAAGGAAACAAAGTACTAAATAGTTCTAAAAATTATTGTACACTATTGTATGATCTACACCTTTTCACTTATCTATATTAGAACAAAATCCAAGAAGTCGGTATTTATGACTTTTGGCCCAAGATATATTTTAGACTTACACATTAAATAATACATTTTTGCGCATTATAACAAAACTACCTATTACAAAAATTAATGCACTTGATTTATTTGTCTACCAGTTTAAGTTATTCAGATGCCACGGCGTATGAGTGACAAGAATGTGGTAGTGCGTAACTCTAACCACTTGTCCACGGCGGCCGCCCTACAACTACTAGATACAAACATATTTATTTCATAATGTATCATATACTATATCGATTAT